GCTGAGGCAGTAGATGATTGAATTATAAATTTCAAGACAATTTTAATTCGATTACTTTTATGAATTTTAAAGATTGTTAATCTTCTATAAATCTTGAAAATTATGTAATCTTCTACGAATCCCTAAAATCTGTTAATATCTAAGATTTAGAAACACAATTTAGTTAAAGTTTTCTATGACTTTACAATAGAAACAAATTTTAATTAGATTGCTTCTTTGAATTCTTTAAATTCTACAATCTAAATTCTCTAAATCCGTAATCTAAATTAGGAACCTTGATGTTTCCTTCGCCAGAGTACCGTGGCATTCAACTAATTCATTCAATTTTTCCATGTCGACATTGCTATTTCCTAGCTTATTATGCTAAACGAGCACCTGTGTAAAAATAATTGAATATACTGAAAACCAGTGGAGTGTATGCGTGTAACCAAGTACAGAACGCAAGAGAAAGCTCGAGGGTTGCAACTTCGTCGCGTTGCTTCCGACTTCGACTAATTAAAAGCACGCTTCAATTAGCGCAAGATAACGGGCGTGTGTTCACGGCGCAACACCTATAGTAATTTTCGGGCGACGGTTAGATTTCTGATTACGCGGCCCCTCGAATTCTGCGCGATTTCCAACATGCAGTCGAAACTGAATCACGAATGATCTTCCACTAAATTTAATACGGATTAAAATGAATTTTGCAAACCAATTGTAAATAATCACAGATGGTCTTCCGTCAGTTTTAATGGAGATTAAATCCAGCTTGCAGATCAATTTTAAACGACTGTTGATTGCACCCCAAAAAAGTATGAAATTTTTCATGTTTGTCAGTTGAAATGGCAGACGTATTACCTTTAAAGTTTCATTTTTCAATTTTTTTTCTGTAGAAGGGGAGCGTATTTAATTTAAAAACGAACCCTGTTATTTTCGCACGAGTTTTATTTTTTATTTTTATTGATAGGATATCTTTTTTATTTAAACAATATCATTTAACTGGTTAGCATTTTTCACGTCAATGTTTTCTTGAGTTTCAAACGCTCATCACATTGAGAAAAATGTATTTGAATTTTCTCGATGAACACGATCGCACTGAGGAGACTAATTCTCCCTCATTTTGCTCCTCTCGGTACACTCTTAACTGACTTTACAGGAAAATGGTCGCCCTCGGGCAAGCGGTTCGAGTGCGCTCATACCCGCGTATTCCTCTAAATTCCCTAAACGTGGTAGTTCCTGTGAGAGCTTAATGTAACGTGAAACTTACTCAAGGTACGAATACTTGACGCTAAACGCCGTTTTGAATTATATTTATTCCTCTAGACGGGGATCGTTCCGCAACATCGATAACAAATTGACTAATAACTAAATTGATTTGGTTATTAACGCTTTGCGCTCGGGTGGCGCCTTTAAGGCGACATATGTAATTTAAATGTGATTTTGTGAACGTACAATTTCAAATTCACTTACATCAGAATACAACTAATTATTATTTGAAATAATACTACATTGAGTCATGAACGTTCGTAGATGTTTTTCTTCGAAGTAGAGTTTGTAGTTTCACAGAAATTTATTACAAAAATGGACTGGATTTGATTCTATAGAAAAATGCCTCGAGCGCAAAGGGTTAATGTGGACCGTTCTCGTTGCATTTACAAATCGATTGTTCGAATTTCGACCACGTTTCGATAAGTCTATTCCTCGATTCAAAAACATTTACAAGCTTCCAATCAGTTTCATGTTGGAAAGTCCTTCGTGAAAAATGTATTTTCGGCAACCGACAATCCCTTGACTCGTCTGGGATCGTTTGACTATTAAATTGGAAGGAATATGTCGATGCATTATTTTCAATCGCGAAATCCCGTAATAACGCGCTTTCGTCGGAGGACTCACGTGAATGCTGTTTGCGCTGATTATTTTCGACGATAACAACTTTTCGACGCCTGGGCTTTGTGCTGCGCGGCGTTTCCATCGAATTTCCTGGCAGACTCGTAGAAAACGCAGACCATCGGCGTCGAATAATTCCCGTTGGTCCGTTCACCATGCTATTCCGCGTCATTGCTCTCGATTCTGTTGGAAACAAAGGCCAACGGTTCGAGGAGTCTCATTCATTTGTTCGATCGGCCGCACCGCTTATTAACGAGAAAGCCCCGACTGATAAATATCCTGATCGAATGGCGATCGTATTGCGTTTGCCAGTAGCTGAAAGCAATACTCTCCTCGACAGACTCGCAACACGTCGCCGAAGGAAATCCATCGAACCGGAAGCGAATGTTGCATCGAGATTCGCTGCCAATTTTCTGATAAAAACAGGAATGAATATTTAGACTGGCTCGAAGCAAGTATTATTTATTGCGTTTCGACTCGTTGCTTTAAGTCTTTTTTAACACCTCGAATAGCGCGTCACCCTTATATAGGTGAGACGAAGCTTTTCATTAAGAAACTTCAATAAATAGTCCCTTAAGCTACAACCACGGGTGGGACTCGTGGTCGGATATTCGGGCCAAAACTGATTATCAAAATGATGAATCCGTGATGTATTGTTCGGTCTAAGTGCGAACATCACATTTTGGTCCCAGGCTGTCGGAACTTAAATCGTAGCTTAAGGGTTAAGTTTAATGACTGAATGTTAATGGAAACGAATCTGGATGGAATTCGTAAATGTTAGATTCTACAGTTTCCAGTTATCTCGAAACAAAATTTTAGCATTGTAGAAATTTCCGTGTAAATCAAACAGTCAACGTGTTACGAAAGGCTAGATGTGACATCCTACACATGCGACGATTAAGTTTAGATACGAATTTAGAAAATTCATACCGTCATCTCGAGCAAGAGTCATAGTAGACACGGAACACATGTCAATATTTTGGTGGACGTATATTATTTTTTTTTACGAGCTTCTCATTGATGTTTTTATGATGGACCCTCGTTAGCGTCGTATTTACTGGCGGTCCACATTTTAAAACGACAAATCGAATTTCCAAGGAACCCAATGACGCCCGATGGCTTAACCCCGAAGAGCTCAGCACCGCAATTTGTTCGACGACGTTAATTACCGCGAAGTTTCCCAGTCGGGGAGACGATAATGAGCCACGCTTCGTCAGAAAACTTCGTCGAAAACGATTAAGAAGTTTGACGAGCTCGTCTTGGCTTTCGTTGAAAGCCAAGACTCGTTTTAGGATTATGTATGTTTGTTTGGGACAAACACGTGATCTAGAAGTGTCTGTACGCAGAATCAAAGAAAACAGACGGGAAATAAGAAAAGAATCGTGTTTAGGAAAATTCGACACTAGATAGAGAATTGTTTTGGATAATCAGGAAACCTTTATGACAGAAAAAGTTGTTACTGGATCGATTTTATATTTACCATGCATATTTATTGACTGTAGAATGCACGTAAATTTTGTTTATTAATGTGCATTGAGCTATAGTGACGTTTATTAACCTTTACAGATCTGTTGTATATTTTAATGTGCGTCATTTGTATGATTATACTTTTGATACAGAATAATTCGTTTCTTAAAATAACAAAGCAGATATATATTTCACAAAATATTCAGACTTTAAGTTGAAAGCTTTACTTGGAAAATATAATCTCATACGAGTAATTAAGTTTTGTCGATAACGATCAATGCAAATCTAATAGCAAATTAATCCTCACAACAATGTTCTCGCGTAAATGATAAAAAGGAGGGGACAAGATGGAATATCGATTTTTTGGTGACACGAAAAGTGAGGGATCTTTTAATTCGAATGGTGTACCCCATCTGGCGAGAGTAACGCGCCTAATTCATTGGTGGAAGCCAACAACGCTGGATTTATTGGTCGAAATTCGTTTTTCAGCGAATAATTTGTTCCCTCGCGTGTTGAATCGGGTTGCGAACGGGCTTCAGTACCTCGCTGGTATTGTTATTTAGAGAAATCACGAAAAATTGTGGATGAAACTGTGATACATGGAGCGAAAGCAGGCGATCAATTTTAGATCATTTTAATTAAACACAATTGTGACTTCTATGCGATTTAAAAATTCAATCCGCGAATTATACTTATAGAATCTCTTGCTGACAGATGAAATGCATGCAATACTTGAAAATCCTGGACATGATTCATAATTAGATGCCTGATAGGAAATCACTGTTTCAAATATGGCCTCTACTATAAATACTTTCAAATAGACTACAGTTTATTTTTAAAAAGTCAGTATTATAGTACAAATGAAGTTTAACATATTTTATACCAAAACTTTGCATAGTTTTTGTTCTTTTATCCATTTCAATTTTCTCTTTTTAATCTCTATGGCCAGCTAAATCCTTCTTCTATATATTATTCTTGTAGAATCTAGTTATAATGCAATCCATCCCCTTCAGTATTATTAACGTAGCAACAACCAATACATTACTGAATTACGGATATCAGAAATTGATACTAATTGAGCGATGTGGGTAATTAATAAACATACCTTTTGCATCGATTTCGGCGTACGTATTACATTTCCTGACATGGATGTAATATCAGTTCCATAAGTACCTACAATTCACGATTCCCTTACTGTGCGAAAACGATCGAATATCTCTATGTTGCACTTCAAATCAACTATCAATAAATAAAAGTAATGAATAATTTATTAACTTTTCTGATACTAAGAACAGAACATTTCTTACAAACCCAATAATTACTAACATTTTTCAATGCTTAACGAGATACATGAATTGACATTTTTCCATTACACTAATTATTAAAGTTAAAGCACTTAGTCTAAACGTCATTCGTGCAACATAATTTTCGCTTCAAACATGTATGTTTATAATTATTCAACGTATATCGATTGCCATCGAAAAAGAATCTAAAGTACAAAGTTTCCAAAATAAAAGTTTTAAAAAGTGTTTATGTACAGGAATGTCTACGTAATTTATTTATTATTCAATTTCTCAAGCACTCGTCTGTATAATTAACGAAACACGTAGATATCTAGTATATCAGAGCTGGAGCAGTACTGAGAAGCGGTTTTTCTTTTTTTTCAGGCGGAGCCAGCTTTAATGTACGACAGCGTGCAGGTGTTTGCAGCAGGATTAATGACCCTGGAACAATCGCACGCGTTGAGGCCCGCAAATATCTCCTGCGAGATGGAGCACCCATGGGATGGTGGACTGTCGCTCATCAACTACATAAACTCGGTGAGTTCATGCAACTTACCTGTGCCTCCAGCCGTTAAAAAGACCGTGATCGTGTAATTTCGCAGAGCTTGCTCGAATTTCATTTGCGTATTCGTTATGAGACATCCATTTCCGTCTCTGGGAATTCCGTTTGAGCCTGAAATTCTGTCCCGTTTTATAAATGGGATCTTGGTTAAATCTCTTCGTTTGGAGGTTACTTTACCCTCCAAAAAGCGAGTATTCGCAAGGTTTCTTAATTTTATTTAGTATGAATTGGAACGCGATGAGCTCTGCCAAATCTAAATATTTTTCAATGCGGAAATAAAATACACCCATGTTTGTAGCTAATGCAATAATTGATATCGCCATTTTTGAGGAAGTCATTCAATCTTTGATCATTTTAATATTTACACATGATTTGCTTTTGCAAGTTTGTAGATGCTTCTTAAAAAACTCTTCTAGGTAATCATTATTATTTCCTCAATATTGTTCTTTTCATCGGATTATAGAGATCTTACTCAAGAGAGCATGCAATAAGCTTAGATAATTAAATCAACTATGATATATATAATTTGATTGAAAAAATTAATTTTACTATGATTCCATTGAATACGTAAATTATCCCTATATAATTACTAGACTGCGGATGTTTATGCATTTATAAGAAATTCCAATGAATTTCATTGCAAGAAACTACAAAATGCAAACAATATGCAAGAATATAAAAAAGATTGAAAATAAAGTTCATGTTATAATATTTGCAGAATAAAATGAATTCCTATTTAGATTCAATTTTTGTGGGCACGTTCACGAAGATTTTATTTTGCATAAAGATCCGCAGTCTAATAATTACACTTGGAAGATCAGTTTTCTACAATTTCTTGAAATAAATCTCAATTCATTGCATACAGTTTCTCTGAATGATTTATTTCATTTAACAACTGATCGATGAATTTTCTAGCACGTTGGAAACACGTGTGTATTTTCGACCAATTCCACGTTGTCGTATAATGGTTCGTTGCGTTTAAGTTGGATCGTTGGAAAGTGAGAACACATGGGAATAAATTGGAAAATTTTGTGAGCGCGTTGTTGCTCGAGATGAGACTCCCTCGAATGCTTGCGAGATTAACGTCGAGAGGTATGAAAGTTATTGCGTTATACGTTCAGAAATACATGGAAACACGAAGATCCTTTTCAGAACGGAATTTAATGCTTCCTCGCATTGGCAAGATGCTACACAGGAAACGTATCTCTGAACACGTGAGATGCTAAAGTTTGCAGAAATGATAAAAGAAAATTGAACATTTCTATTTAATTCAATTTACTTTATGGGTAGGAGAGGACTTTGCTACCGCTGGTTGCATTAGGAAAAGTAAATATAAAATACAATGGAGTTGAGAGATAAAATATAGAAGAAGCTGTTACGTGGAGGCCAAAATCTGGTTAAATTTGAGAAAAGCACTGAAAAAAATCTACTAGATACATGTTGTAAACAATTAAATGACCCTTGTTTAATATTAGGCGTACGGAGCATGGTCATTTTGATTCAGTCCAAATTTCACAAGGTTTTACAGAAATCAGTTCTGTTTTTCGCCAACCACTTATGATGACTTTTATTCATATAAAAGGACAACCATATATTTAAATTCATTTTTATTTAAGCCTCCTAATTCATTCTAGTAACGCGATTTCACTTGATAAAGTTATAATAGAAGTATATAATAGAATATAATAGCAGTAATAAAAATTTGATAAGAAATCTCCGTTAACCTAGTGTTAATGAATCTTTTCAATGATCCGAGTATAATAAGGAAGCAATAGTTTCTAGTAGAAACATTTGTTTGAAAATGTTAGGAGGTACAAAATTACTGTTCGTAGTATAAATTAGTACAAAATATTCCACGAAGCCCGATATGATTCTGCTGATTTGGTCCTGCCAGCTTAAGAGAGGTCATTCCGTAGTCCTGACACGGTTTTAGGGAGGAATGATTTCACTCTTTATCACTCTAACCCGTTTTGAACAAACAACCGCATTTATCACGCTTACGAAGAAACCTACCCTGTCGTTTGCGATAAATTACAAATGCAAAAGGCTTGGACGACTGCCAAAAACAACTGTATTCAGGGTAATTGGAAACACTGGTATCGAGCTTTCTCACAGAGCACGATGGGACGAGGGTACAAATTCGTGATAAATCGTGTCATGAAAAAAAAAACAACATTTTTTATCGTTACTTTTTCTTATCAAGAAAGAGCAATCAGATACTCCCAGTATTACAATTTCTAACCATTTGTTAGGATAATAAAAATATTCTGTTTCTGAAGTAGGAATGCTGCAGTAACATAATAAAAATTCAATAATAGGAAGTGTAGTTCTCTTCAAAGTTTAATAATTCAGGAAAAATGGAAGGACCAAATCGTGAGTCTCTAAGTTCAAATTAAATATGATAAACGAGATTTCTCTCATGCAATGATATCTAAGCGGTCAAGAGTAAAATAACGAAGATTATTCTTGTATTATTCTTACAATCTTATATTATATATAAAAAATGAGACACTATAGTCATTTCGTCGTCTAACATTGATGAATGAGTCTAACTACGAGATGAAAGTTTTAACTACTTATGTTTCATTATATGATCTTGTTTATCATATTTATCTTAAAATCCGTTCAACATGATTTGGGGATTTTCATATTCTTCTCGAACTATTCTATCGGTCATTTCACATTTTTACAAATTTCTACTTTCTTTCGGTTTCTTTATTGTTCATTCTTTCGATGCTATATCTTTTATTTATAGTTGTGATCCCTTTCGATTTGACAAGCTGCTTAAAAAGAACACCCTCTAGGCTTGTTATAATAAGTGTATTATTTATGGTCTAATTAAAAAAATTTTTATTTCCGAAAATTGTGACAAAAATCACGCGGAGAACTGTCTTGAACAACTATCACGTTTTTCAACGTTGCTGCGTGCGCGTTGGTCAGAATTTAGATGATTCTGGCGGAATTCAAGCCCCATATAATGAAACATCCACAGCTAGTCGGCTTCGATAATGAACAATCTCATTAGGATCGAAAACGACTAAATCAAACAACTCTAATTTGGGGGGGGGGGGGCACCTAATTGTAACCATTTCGATACTAATAGAATAATCGGTTCGGACAATAACACTGTTATCGACGTTCTCGATATAGCTGATTTTATTTTGCAGTGTTTTATGCATGACAGTAATTATGTATGCAGATCGATGAATTCTCAAATATTGAATAGCACAATATTAGGCTGGCGAGCACCAATAGCGAATTTCTATGAATTTTAATCTCCATTTGCAATTACACTTGTTGATATATTTATAAGTCAGAATTTTCAAACAATCTCAAACTTGCTGGGTAACTGAATGCATTCTTTGTTTTTTAGGACACGTGGCACAATTTAGAAGGAAAAAGGCACAGTTCTTAATTTTGAATTAATCTAGCAGAATAAATAATGAATTGATTGAAAGATGTTGCATTTTTAAAGCATTTTATTTATAATGTTTGTTAACTAAGCACCTTTTACTGATAAATTCCAAAGTAAATTCGGAGGCTAAACATTGGTGTTTATTCAAACACGATTTATATATACATAATTTATTTTATTAAAAGAGTGTCGTGAACATATACTTACTTATGTATACCCGTATAATATAAATTTTTATATTATATTATAGTAACGAATCATTTAGAAGCATTTGAATGCTTGGAAAGTCATCATCTTCCATAGCAATTGTCAACAATAAATTGCTGCTTAAGTATAAATTCAACAAGGCAACAAATTATTCAGAATTATAGACTGTGCTGATTTAATTTTTTTGTACATTATGACCCTGAAAAATGAAGAACTTTTTAACCAAATTATGTCCAAAACAGGTGTCAATTTAAATATGACGAGTTTTCACGAGTTTTCAAGGGATCGAAAATTCGAACATGTGAACAAATAATGCGATAATATTCAGTCTAGCGACAAGCCGGAAGCCAATTTCTATAAATTTCAATCAACATTTTACAACGTTCCGCGCTCGCGAACCGTGGTGACGCGGGGGGCTCGAATAAATTGTTTAATGCAATATCGTACGGCTTCAAACCTGTCACAGCCAGTGGCCACAAATCCTTCTGCGGTCTTGTTCGTTCCTGTTTCACGCGACGAGAGGGATCCCTGCCTTTGGATTCGAAACGTTCCCATTTTTGCCCCAGGAAATAATTGAAACTGTCACAGGTGGAAATACGCGTCACTTCCTGTTGTGTTGAATTCACCCTTTGGAGAACTCTAAACGCGACTACCGTGGAACGTCGATTTTTTGGAAATAAATGGATGACAACACACACCTGGCAAATGAATTTCCATATAATTCAACGATGGGAACAGGGGATGGGATGGCAAACGAATTTCCATATAATTCATCGATGGGAACAGAAATAAAAAGATCGAATGGTTGAAGCGCTGAGCGATTTTGGAATATTTGGAACAATTTCGATACGTTTATTTCAACGTCGGAATGAATGTTTCCAAATGGTTCTGTATATTCCAATACTGAATGTTGCGAACATTTTTATTTGAATAATAGTTTGCTCATTTTTAATAACGGTGAAATAAAACGGCGTTATGTATTATGCAATTTTTATTTGGATGGTAAACGTACGAAGAATTGATTTAATTTTTAATTCGTCTTTTAATAATTAACGTATAAACACTGATTTTCACTTAACTCGTTAAAAATTGAATGCAAGCAAAATGTGTTTAACTTCTGGCTCACGTGCGCGAACGTGACAGGTTAAATTATATATTTAATTATCTCCAGGAGACGGCGTTCTAAATGCACAAAATTAATTTCGAATTGGATAGCTGGCGCTTGGTACACCTTGGACAGTGCTCAATAATTTCCCCAGGAAACCAATCGACTTCGTTGGTAATCCAGACGATCTCCAACGTCCAAAGATCTTGGCTTCCCTGGGGGTACCCTTGTGGACCACTATTAATTTA